CCGTATTTAACTGTCTGAATTATTTATCAGTTTTGGACTGCCCTGAACCAATTATCTTAAAAGCCACACAGCATTCTTATGGGTCAATGAAACAATTACTTTGCATCTTTGTAGAATTATGCAGTTCTTTAATTGCATTATTTGTTTACTTATTTGGAGCTCTTTTGGTTTAAGGAATTGGCAGCTGATCAACCTGTTATTTATTATTGTTTTGAACTACATTGTGATGTGGAGATGTAGGACTCTCTTGTTCAGTGTAGGACTCTCTTGTTTAGTGTATTAGAACTTTTTTAGGATAATCATTAGTAGTTTATCAAGTGGACATTAGTCTCTCTTGTAGAAAATCAGATGTTGCATCACTAAAACATGGGACCTGCCATTGTGATGACGTTGTGTGACTTGATGCATTCTTTTGTTTGAGTTAAAGTAGGTGGCTTTGTTCAGTGACTTCCAGGCGAGAAATGGTGGAGGTAAGGGATAAAAGAAGTCTGAACAACACATTGATAGTAAGCAAACACAATGAAAGTAGGAAGAGAAGAGAAACCATTTTACCAGAAACTTTGTAGGGTCTCTCAAAAATCAAAATTATAGCTTCAAGAGAAGATGATTTCAGGCTTTGGGAAGTATGTCGTCTGACTGACGAAGGGTAAAACTAGGTGGTAAAAGAGAAATCTTAGTAAAGAGCAAGAGGGAGAGGATGAGTAGAAGTTAACTTCACACCTCCCCCTTTTTTCCCCCCAAGATTTGGAAATTAAAATTTCCAAGTTGAGCTCCCTTCATTGGAATCTTGCTGTCTTCTTTCTGACTTCAGTCTGAATAAGGAACCAGAGAGCTAATCATACACATTTCAAGAAGGATGTGGACAAATTGGAAAAAGTCCAGAGAAGAGCAACAAAAATAATTAAAGGTCTAGAAAACATGACCTATGAGGGAAGATTGAAAAAATTGGGTTTGTTTAGTCTGGATAAGAGAAGACTGAGAGGGGGAGATGATAGCAGATTTCAGGTACCTAAAAGGTGGTTAAAAGGAGGAGGAAGATACTCCTTAACTCCTGAAGATAGAACAAGAAGCATTGAGCAAGGGAGGTTTAGGTTGGACATTAGGAAAAACTTTCTAACTGTGAGGGTAGTTAAGCCATGGAATAAATTGCATAGGGAGGTTGTGGAATCTCCACCACTGGAGGTTCTTAAAAGCAGATTTGACAAACAACTGTTAGGGATGGTTTAGATGTTACTTGATGCTGCCATGAACTGCAGGGGACTGCACTTGATTATCTCTTGAACTTCCTTCCAGTTCTGTCATTTTATGAGTATAATCTTGATTTATAAAAAGTACAAATGTAAAGTTCCACAGATGACCTGAACGTATTTCAGGACTAATTTTTAGCCCTCCTCCCCCCCTGGCCTTTTTAGAAAGGTGGTACACTACTAGACCAATCTTGATCATTTTTTTAAAAATAACTAATTTAGATCTGTGTCCTTCTCTAATAATCAGGGGCTGGCAGTAATATCCATTTGTTGTATTTGTAATGGACCTGTCACCAATGTTAAGGAGCCACATGCATAATAGAAAGTCAGTTATATCCAAATTTAGATTAAGCTCTCATCTCTATTTCAAGTCTCTTTGGGGTCAGGTTGTTAATTCCTTTGTCCTTCCTTTAAAAGAACATTGAGGTGATTATGCTGCTTTATTTGAGTAAGTCCTGTCTGAAGAAATTCTGTTGATATGATTGCCATCAGTGATAGCACATAGCGAAGGTCATGTATTCTGAAACAGTTCTTGAAAGCTTCATACTTAGAGATGGAAGCTGTCGCTAAAAGTCCTATTATAGGGCTGCTGAAACTGTGAGAAAATGGGGAAAGATGTTAAGAAAGCTTAGCTCTTTTCCATTTTAAGGTCCTGATCCTTTATTCGGTATGGATTCAGTGCTAATGTGGAGTTTTGATGGTAACATTCTCACCATTCTGTTTTGTTTAGCAAGGAGACCATAATATGTTGAAACAGTTGTAGCATGTATGTTGGCTGCATAGTCTTCTCCAATTGTCTAGCTTAGAAGTCACAAAAGTATGGATAAAGTTAGCTAAGTCTTTATCTGTGAAGGGTGAGTGAGTCCCCTGCTAGGAAATGTTCTGATTGCTGTTGCTGTTATCAGTATTCATGAGGTTGGACTTCATTCCACGTTGATAAGTCTGTGACTGTAGTTCGGGATGATGGGCATAGCAGGGCCATGCACCTTCCAGACTTTGACAAAAAGATGCTGCTATAATAGTATATAGACCAGTGTTGGAAACATACAACCTATTTTGAAAACAAGCCCACCAAGAATAAGGAGATTATTTTCTTTCCTATTTGAGTGGGAAATTTCAGGTGGTTTTCAGAAAGGGTAAAAATGTGTCTGCAGTACTCTTAAAAACTGTATAGGTAAACATCCTGTCTCATCTTGTCCTTCTTCATATAGTCAACTGACTTCATTTGGTAAAATTCTTCTCCCTGTTAAATATGCATTAGATTTTTCCCCCTGGAATGTCTTCTCTAGTTAGATGTCATCTTAATCTGCAACTTAAGGAGTTCACCGAATATTAGCAGTGCTATGTCTATGTTTTCACGAGGCTATTAAAAATGCTTACACTAGGCACAGTAATACAGTAAAAATGTCATTGATAGTAGCTTTTTTAATATGCTCTTTACTCATTAAAACTGTCTGGAATAGAGATGAAAGTTTAGCAGCTTCAGCACAGAAACTATTTCCCTGCTTTTTATTTATTACGGTGCTTGGTAATAAGAGCTAATATCTCCCTTGTTTCTGGAGTGGGGGTGGTGGTGAAAGGAAATACCGGCAGTCCCCGGGTTACGTACAAGATAGGGACTGTAGGTTTGTTCTTAAGTTGAATCTGTATGTAAGTCGGAACTGGCGTCAGCCGCTGCTGAAACTGATCAGTTTCAACTGCAGCTGAATCAGGACGCCAGTTCTGACTTACATACAGATTCAACTTAAGAAACCCAGGCATCCCCAAGTCAGCTGCTGCTGAAAGTGATCAGCGGCTGATTCCAGGAAGCCTGGGGCAGAGCAACTCTGCCTCGGTCTTCCTGTAGTCAGCGCTGGTCAGTTTCAGCAGCGGCTGACTTGGGGACGCCTGGGGCAGAGCAGCTGGGGTGCTGCTGGGTTGCTCCAGTAGCGCGGCTCCTCGGCGCTACTGGAGCAACCCAGCAGCACCCCAGCTGCTTTGCCTCAGGCGTCCTGATTCAACCCGGCAGCCCCCAGCTGCTCTACCCCAGGGGTAGGCAAGAAAAGGCCAGGGAGACGGGGGTGGCGGGACGCCCAAGTCCCCCACGGCTTTGCTCCGTCTCCCTGGTCTGCTGACCTGGGAGACGCCGAGCAAAGCCGCAGAGCATGCGGGCAGCGGGACAGCCAGAGGCGCGCCGCGGCTGTCCCACTGCGGGCGTGCTCCAAGGCTCT